GTGGACTTCAACTCCCAGAATTCCTCAGCCAGCAAAGCTGGCTGAGGAATTCTGGGAGTTGAAGTCCACAAGTCTTAAAGTTGCCAAGGTTGGACACCCCTGGTTTAGCGCATCCTGGGAATCCAGCCAGTTAGGGACGGCAACGCAAATGACGTCACAGGCTTTTGATGTGACAGGGAAGGGCCAGAGGTGGTATTCAGCTGGTTCTGACCAGTTCTGGAGAACCAGTAGCAGAAATTTTGAGTAGTTCAGAGAACCAGCCAATCCCACCTCTGACTGGCCCCGCCCCCATCTCTTCTCTGCCTCCCATTGAGTCCCAGCTGATCGGCTGATTCTTCTTTGGTTGCCCCGCACAGGAGAACGGAGCTGGAAAGAAGGTTAGTGGGGCGGGGGAAGGAATGGGAGTTTGCATTACCCTCCCTCTGCCACACCCACCAAGTCACACCCACAGAACCGGTACTAAAAAAGGTTTTTGAATCCCACCCCTGGGAAGAGACCCAGGAAGGGCTCACCCTGCCTCGCTCGACCTCCTTGGTGGTCATGACGATGATGTGGGTGTTTTCCTGGTAGATCATGGTCCAGAAGTCGTTGACGGTGCTTTGGAGGCAGCCCTGGGTGGCGATGTAGACTTTACAGTGTTCGGCGCTGCAGCCGTCTTCGAGAGTGTTCTGGAACAAGGGAGGAGGGAATTAAGGGAGAACAGGCGGCTTCTCTCCTTGATTAGTTTCCATCCATTGTTTCTTGTCTTATCTTCCGATGCTTTGGAGAATAATTTGACCCCCTCTTCTTTGTGGCAGCCCCTCCAATACCGGAAGATGGCTATCACGTCACTCCTAATCCTTCTTTTGGTTAAACTAGACAGACCCAATTCCTGCAACCGATATTATTGTTCTCATCTAGCTTAATTTGCCATTTAGGAGATGAACCTCCAACAGACGCTTTAATTTTTTTTTTTTTTTACATCTGTATTTCTTTTTCTGTCATTTCATCTCTGGAGGTCTTCACAAATGGATTGAATAACAGAGCTGGAAGGGACCTCGGAGGTCTTCTAGTCCAACCCTCCCCCCCTCATCAAGCAGGAGACCCTAGGCCATTTTAGACGAAGGATTGTCTGGTCTTTTCTTAAAAGCCTCCAGGGTTGGAGCCGTGCTGGAAGAAGGCTCAGGCTGAACTAAATTCTACCAGCCACTGAAGCGTTCAGCGCATTATAGGCTCCTTCATTAGAGCTCATTAGACTGTCTGCTTTTTTTTTTTTTAAATGAGCTGATTGGATTTAAACTGCAGACAGTCGGAAGTATCCCGCCCCGTGTAGGCCAAATATTTTCACAACGTGCTGCATTTATTTTCATTTGTTTTTAACGTGCTGCATTTATTTTCGTTCATTCGTTCTTTTTTTTATGGGTTACACATTAATATTGGACACCGTGTGATCGTCATTTCTGCCCTGCGTACTAAAGTATATGATGCACTTCTTATATACATATACTGCTGATCCAGTTCTACAGAGGAATGATGGAGTCTGTCCTCTGCACCTCTGTGACTGCCTGGTTTGGTTCTGCAACCCAACAGGACAGACACAGACTCCAGAGAGGAATTAGGACTGCAGAAAATAGCAATTGCTACCAACCTGCCTTCCATGGAGGAATTGCATCCTGCACGAGTCAAAAAGAGGGCAGGGAAAATATTTAGACCCCTCACATCCTGGACATAAACTGTTTCAACTCCTTCCCTCAAAACGACGCTCTAGAGCCCTGCACACCAGAACAACTAGACACAAGGACAGTGTTTCCCCAATGCCATCACTCTGCTAAACAAATAATTCCCTCAACACTGTCCAACTATTTACTAAGTCTGCACTACTATTAATCTTCTCATCACTCCTTATCCCCTCTCTCCTCCCACTTGTATGACTGTAACCTTGTCGCTTGTATCCTTATCATTTTTATTGACTGTTTCCTACTATGATTGGATTGCTTATTGTATGCTAGGACTATTATTAAGTGTTCTATCTTAAGATTCTTGACTCTTGACGACTGTAGCTTTCATTTTATGTACACTGAGAGCATTTGCACCTAAACAAATTCCATGTGTGTCCAATCACACTTAGCCAATAAAGAATTCTATACATTTATACAATTAACTTACCCAGTATATACATTTATATTATCTTCTGTGCTATTTGTTTTATATCTGTTGTATTATCCATCATATTCAATTATAATTATATCTATGTAAAACTGTATTTATTTTCAATCTCAACAGGGCCGCAGCCTTCCCTTCACGTGCACAAACATGTGAAAAATAATAAGTTGTTCTGCAATGTTGGGAAACGTGTCCCCAATGAATCGTCTCAGATCTACTCCCAATTGCCTGCCACTCACCTTAATATAATTGGCATTGATGTAATCGGAACTCGGCACTCTGGGATCGGCGTTCCAGAGAGCCACTCGGGTTGTGTCAACTGCAAAGGGAGTGGAACAGCATAACTGCGAGAAAAAAAAACGAGCCTCCATCTTGGAAAATATTTTAATTTACTGCCCAGATTTATATATTGCGTGGGTTCAATGATCCTCTCTTTTTTAAAAACCCTTAACAGCTCCCTGCTTCTCTGCACAACAACCCTGCAAGGGAGGCACACCTGGCTCGAATTGGGTGAAAGAAGGCTGCCATGCCAACCTGCTAACCTCTTTTGGGCCCTGAGTTCGAAACTCAGGGTGAATTTCTGATAATTGCTTAAAAGTAGGAAGTGTGCAAGAAGAAGGGGGGAAAAAACCACCATCAATCATTCTATTTTCTGCCATCATTTCCCGCTTTAAGGATATTTCAGAATTCTTACATGGAAGGATATTTTTGTAGCGATTTTTCGCCTTATTCTCGACTCGCTGTCCTTCCTTCCTGGGATAGAGAAATTTGCACTCCTGTTGTTGTAACATCTGCGGGGACCAAGAAGTTGGAAAGGCATCACTATTTTCATCTTTCATTGGGCTTTAAAACAAACCCCATTATCCCCAGCAACGGCTGGCCTAAGCCAGGATGATGGGGAAAAAAATCCCACCCCAACTTTCCATATCTGACCCAGATGAAAATTCCCAGAATTCCCCACAGCTCATGCTAGGAATAATGGGAAATCTTCTCCCCAGGCTGGAAGGAACAAAAGGAGATTTGATTGGGGGCCCCTTTTTCCCCCGTTTACCTCAAATTCCTCCCAGAATCCTTGCTTCGCCTTCTCGCTTTGGTCGGCCATTTTGTTCAGCTCCTTGACTCGGTTCTCGATGTTGGCCGCGATGATCCGGGTGGCGTTGAAAGGCTGTCGAAGACAGAATTTTCTCTAGATGTTGAAGGAGAGAGGGACCTCCCCCTCCATGTCTCTTTCCCCCGGTTAAAGGCTCGGCACAGGTGACCGACTTACCTGTTTCAGGTGTACCACGACCCCTGACTTCTCCACCATGGGGTTCTTCTTGTAATGCTCCACCAAGTCCGCCAGGGTGTCGAATCGCTCTCCTCCGCCCACGTCATACTTCCCATCCAGCTGCCAAAGGAGAACCAGGAATAGCGCTAGCTCTTAAGACTAGGCACAGGCTGGTGAAAACCGACTCTGAAGTTTCCCGCGGTTTTCACCTCATTAAAAGTAAACGTTTATTCCCTTCCCCAATCAATCAGTCACATGGCTCAATCAACACATCCATAGCCAAGAGTCATCAGTCATGTTCTCCAGTTAGAATTTTGCCCGGCAGAAACTTCAGTCACCTAGTTACTATCTTTGAAAACATTTAGGGAATGCAGTTTTGGTATACAAGCTGTTGCACTGCTCCTCCCTCCTTTTCTGTTGGCAACTCTAAAAAGACCATAGAAATATTTTATGACAGTACCCTGCTTTCCAGCTCCGTTCTCCTGTGCAGGGCAATCAAAGAAGACCCAGCCGATTAGCTGGGACTCGGGAGGCAGAGAACAGACGGAAGACGGGGCCAATCAAGAGGCGGTATTTGCCGGTTCTCCGAACTACTCAAAATTTCCACTACCGGTTCTCCAGAACCAGTCAGAACCTGCTGAAGACCACCTCTGAACCACACTATTTAACAAAAGGGTTTCCAGTCCCTATTATAACCCTACATCAAGGACCGCCTCTAGATGACCTCCAAAGTCCCTCCCGTCCTATCCTTTTACAACCGCCCAAGAGGCAGATTGAAAGAAAGCGGGAAGGCTGCAGATCCTGACCTGATAACGGATCATGATGTGGGTCACGCGGGGTTTCCGGTCTCCCGTGTCGGCTTTATCCTCGTTCGTCAAAACGGACAAGACGAAGTCGCCCGGTTTGCTTTGACTGCTGCGGACCAAAAAGCTGCCGGGTTTGGCTTTGTCGGTAAGGAGCTTCTCGGCTTCCTTGCCAGTCAGGTGGCCATGATACCATCTGAAAAAAGACATTTCGATGGGAAAGATCCAACTCCCCTTTGCCACCACTCCCCACTCAATGTAGAGATATTATCTACATTAATTTTTATTATTGTTGTTAATTTTTATTAAGCTTTTTCATTTTTACAAACCTCATTCTCATCTTCAACACCGCTGTTGCATCATTATTACATATACAATCTCTATCTACTGTATTTCTATTCATTCATATACATTTGCCTGTGTTTTTCTTATCTCTATTATTCTTATTCTTTTTATTCAACCATTCGTACCAATTGTCCCAGACCTCATAGAACTCTGACCCTTCTTTTCTCATTTAGCTGTAGGGTGAGTTGTCCATTTCAGCCCCTTCTAACATCTTTTGGTTTTCTAATTCCTCCGGTGGCATACGATCTTGCTTCCAACCTTGGGCGAATGCAATCCTCGCCGCTTCGTTGTGTGTAATGTCATATATTTGCTCTTTTTAATACACTTCCCTTTTATTATTCCTAAAAAGAACAATTCAGGTTTAAACTCTTATCTGACATTTCACTATTTCTTGCAACCGGCTCTGTATTTTGACCCAGTATTTTTGAGCTTCCGGGCATAGCCACCACATATGGAAGAAGGTACCCTGGTCCTCTTTGGAGAGATTACCTCTTTAACTGCATGGGGCTTAAACCCCAGGGACCCCTTCCCACCCTTCTCCCTGCTACTTTTCTGGATTTGTCAGTGAGGAACAAAATTTGCACATTATCTCACCCGTGGCACTGTTTTGTATAGGGTTTACATGTCAAAAATCAATGAGAACAGTCCCAGAATGGTGCATTTCCTACTCTGGCCTCTAGAACGTAGGTTGGCTGGATTCACCCACCCACCTCCAACTTACCTTTCTGAGGTGGGATCCTGGCAATTGAGTGGGAATCGTAACTCAATGGTGTTGCTGTTCTTCTCGCGGAGGAGCCCTTCCTGCTCGGTGTAGTACTGGACCAGCTCCGCCAAGGTGGCAAATTTCTCCCCTCCGTAGAGGTCGTAATAATCGCCCGTGTTTTGGATTTTGATGTGGGTCACCTCATCGTTCCTCCTGCAGCCACAAGGATCAGGGAGGAGAAGGATGGTGGTTGGGTGGACCGTTGCCGATATAACTCCGATTCCCCCCCAAGGCAGCTTTCAAAAGATATCCCAAAATGAAAAAACAATGATGGATTCTGACCACAGCAGGGATGAAAACAGATAATATACTGCATATACATTTGTTAAAATTATAAAGGCAGGAGGAAATGAAGAAATACTCAAGTTACAGCAGTTCATATAGTCACCATTTGAAGTTACAAGGCAACTGAAAAAAAAAAAGACTTATGTGGTTTCACACTTACAACCGTTGCAGTTCCCCATGTCAAAAATTCAGAGGCTTGGCAAACTGCCTCGTATTTATGACGGCTGCAGCATCCTGGATCCCCTTTTACAACCTTCTGGCAAACCAAATCAATGGGGAAGCCAGATTCACTTAACAACCGGGTGGCTAACTTAATTGCATGGATTTACTTAAGAATGGTGGCAAGAAAAGCCGTAACATGGGGCAAAGCTCGCTTAACAACTGTCTCCTTGAGCAACAGAAAATGTGAGGCTCAATCGTGGTTGTAAGTCGAGGATTGTCTAGAATACCCCGCCCTCCATTTGCAAATCAATTCTCGTTGCAAAGGGAAAGACTTGAACCCACTTTGAACTCTTTTGACTTTTCCTAAATTTTAAATTGGTGCTGGACCGTAAAGAAGACCCTTCAGCCTGTCATCACGCCACACCACACTTTGTGTTGTGGCCTGCCAACGGTCAGCAGAGCTGGTGGCAGACTCGGACAGTGAGGAAGTTGGAGAGGAACATGGGCCAGTCTTGGAGGCTGAGGAAGGCTCGGACGAGGGCTCTGTGTCGGAGGCAGAGATGGGGCTGTCCGACAGTTATCAGCTGTCTTCGGAATCAGAGATCAGTGGGGCAGAAGAACAGCTGGAGCCTATTCCCAGTGTGTGCATGCACAGAGCTGCCAGAAGAAGGAAACAGTTAAGGAACAAGGGTCGACTTGGGAGTAAAGGCTCAGGTGAATGGTGAATGGTCCCTCCCAGAGGGAATAAAGAGGAGTGAAAAGGGAGTGTGGTTTTGCAGGAGACAATTAGTTCAATTAATTAGGGTGAAGATCTATTCCTGACTTCTTGCCAAGTAATTGCTGCTATAGCGTGGCGTTTGGCAGATATCGGCCTGGCAACTCTCCCAGCCTGATAAAGGTCTGTAGCTGTGCAATCTCTGCAAAGACTGTTTTCTGGGACTTTGCTGGAGAGGAATTCCCTTTTAACCTAAATAAAAGGGGTTTTATCAGGATGAGGAGTCGGCTTCGTGATCTCGGGAAGCCTAGGTCAGAACACTTTGTGAGGCAGAACTCACAAAAAAGCCTCCGCAGCCTTTTTAAAGGAAGCCAGGAGACTCTGCTCACATCTTTCCTAATTTTGGAAGAAATATTGCAAACGGGCGGGCCACCGGCAGAGCTGTGGCAAGAAAGAGCAAGGATGAGTCACCCTAAAGGCACAAAAAGATATTGTTGTTGGGAATCCACTTCCTGTTCTCTCAGTCCATCCTCCAAAAAGAAAAAGAAAAAAGAAAAAAAAGTTTTCTTCTTTTCATAAAACTTTAGCCCAACGAGCGTCTCCCTCTTTCAAACCACATTTTGAAGTGTGCCTAACCCTGGTCCAAATCTATATTTATATATCCCATCGTATAGAAACTCAACCAACGCAAGCATTTTAATGACAAAAACACCAGCTCAGTGCACTAAAGCCCATTAAAACCACCAGCATGAAGAAATCATGGATAAAAAGATGGAATGATATAGCCGTGAATTAGCGCATGTGAATTCTGGAAGGCAGGGTTATATGCCTTATTACTCGCTCCAGAATAAATTGTGCAATGATCTTTTTTTCTTTTCTTTTAATATTCCTGTTTTATTTTGGCGGATGGCTTTGCAAGGTGTTTTAAGGAGGCTGTTGGGTTTGTCCAACAATTGCACTGAGTTTGAATTAATTTATTTTTTTAAAAAATGTTGAAAAGGAAGCCGGAATATTGCAAAGCAGAGAGAAAGGAAATTGAACGGCGGGTGAAATGTTTTCTAAATTGCACAAATCAGTCAGATTTCAAGATGAGGCAAAAAACAACAACAACCTTCAATTGATTTGTCTTAAAGCCAGAAATTCTATACAACTGAAAAATAAACGCAGCATCCCCCCAGAAGATGTAGTCATAAATAAAATCTTTGAATGTGCGGAAATGGATATGCTCACATTTGAAATGAAGGAGAGAGAGAGAACTCCGATTATTACAACATACGCCATAAATGGTATGAATGGTTAGAAGACAGATATAAAAAAAATAAGAAAATAGAAAATGTAATTATTACAAGAGACCTTAAGAAAATAATAGGCTAGATAGATAGACTATAAGGTATATAAGATAAATGTCACTATAGATAGATACAATAGATACTGTGGATTTATAGAAAGAAAATGTATGCATTAAGATATATAAAATGTATATTGGTCGATGTCGAACCATTGTCAAAAACTGCATATGAGATTTGTATTTGTGGAAAATATAATAAAAATCTATTTTAAAAAAAGAAAGAAAAATAAACACAGCATCCATTTCTTTTTTACTTCTGGGTTAAATATTTTTCTAACCCCAAATCTGGGTTAGATATTTGTCAGTCTCCCTCTCTCTCCTAGTTTGTGTAATTCTTTTGGGTTCGTTGGCTTTATCTGTCTTTCTTTAAAGAGGCAGAAAAACAAGAACTTGATTAAGAAATGGGAGAGCTGGTTTTTCTCTGACCAAACTCATCCATCAAACATCTGGAGTCTGGTTGAGCTCAGTAGGTTAGACTGTCTCCAAAGTGCCTTTAAAATGCAATTAACGGAGTCTTGAGAATGGGCTCTTGGTGAAAAGGAGCAGCATTTAACTGGGCCAAATAGAATTAACCCTCCTTGTGCTGGAGAGAACATTCTTAACCCCCCCTCTCCCCATCCATCCAGGAGATACCCTTAAAAAAAAGTGGGGGGGGAGGGTATTAAATGTTAAAAGGGCCCTCAATTAAACATAAGCAGAACGCCTGCAGCATTAAGTTTTCAGAATATAAAGCTGGAAAATATTCTAGGCTTCATGGAACGAGAGATGGGATTCCCCATTAGTGTTGTGGTTCGCCATGAGGTCTCGGAGAGCGAGGACTCAGGTGAGGGGCCTGTGTGGGATGCAGGGATGGGGCCAGGACCATCAGGGAGTGGAGTGCTGCCTTCGGAGCTTGTGGAGGCTGGCAGCAGCGATGAAGAGGACCCCGAGGAGCCTGTGCCCAGTGTGCGTGCATGCAGGGCTGCTCGAAGGAAAGAGCAGCTGCAGCATCACAGGCAACTTGGGAGTAAGGCTGCAAGGTAATGGCCCCTCCCTTAAGGGATAAAAGCCAGCTGAGAAACCGGAGTTCTTTGCAGGAAGCAAAGACGTTTTTGCACTCAAGCTCGGTGGACGTTTGGACTCTCTTAGTTTGTGTTTGGAGACTTTTTGCGTTTGAAATATTTCTTAGTAACTTTATCTCGTGTTCTTGGCAGCCTTGCACCACCTTGGCAAGGCTCGTTCTTATCAGAGACAGTTTGAAACAGCCTTTTCACCGGGGAAGAATGGAATTCGTAAAGAATCATTAAAAGGTTTTGCTGTTACCTCTGTTTGGTGTTAGTTTCCTTGGAACAAGGTTTGGGTCAGAACAGCGAGGGAGTGTTAAGCCGAGAGAGTCTCAAACACTTTCCATTCAGCGAGCCAAAAATAAAAAATAAAAAATGGGAGAGAATCTCATTTAGGATGGAGGGGAAAAAAAAGAAGAAGCTGAAATCACAAAACGTCTTTTCAAGAAACGTTTCTCTGCCCCGCGTGTCTTTGCAAGTCAAAGCGCTCTTTTAAGATAAGAAAGGGAAGGAGGAGGAAAAAAAAAAACCAGGAGGAAAATAAGAAGTGGACAACTGGACGCCTTGAGCTGGACTTTTTCAAAATTTAGACATATAGATGCCAAGAAAATTTAAATCAATACTTGCTATGCAGATTCCTTGCTCAGATTTTCTGTAATTTCCCCCTTTTGTTTATTAACTGCATTTCCTTTGGCTTTTGGTTTGTTTCCTTGTGATGTCTTTGTTGTTTGTTTTTAAAAACTTGCAATAAAATAAAAAGAAACAAAATGAGCAATAACCGTGACAACCACAGATTATAGATTAACAGAGTGGGAAGGGACCTTGTAGGTCATCCAGTCCAACCCCCACCCCACCCCCAAGCAGGAGGAGATCCTTCACCATTTATCTTGAGAAACTTCTATTTGCAGCTGGGGATTTTAAAAAATGCAGCCCTCTTATTTTACGTCGGTCTCTTTTAAGCAAACCTAGTTGCTAACCACGAACAAAACTGACGGAAAGACAGAAATAGTTCTCTAATATTTGAAGACCTCAAGTTTTTGCATCGGCTTTTGTCCCTTTTTAGAATTATCGGCTCTATGAAGCTCAGAATTAGTAAAAAAAATAATATAACAATATTTGGTCCAAGCCTAAGGGACAGCCCTGGTTAAAGATAAATGTCTGGATTGTGAAAGCAAGCATTGTCATTCGGTTTCGTTTTCCTTCTTCTTTGCATTCCTCAAATCTGTGTGTTAAACTTGAAACCGAGGATGCAAAATGCAATCTTGAATTCTAGCAAATATTATTAATAAGAGCATTAACTATTAAGAGGGCTAGGGAAAAAAATAGCTATCCTGACAAGAGCGGAGGAAAAACTCGTTTGCAGAGTTTCTCAGCGACAGCCAAGATATATTTTTTCCATAGAAATAAGTTTTGTTTCTCAAACGAAGCTCCCACGTGAATATTTTTGGGATCATTATGGACGTTCGCCACCCGGAGTTATTATCAAAATAATAAAGGTGGGATGAGAATCAAAACAAAATAAAAATAAAGGCCTTTTAAGGAAGGGCGGAACCACGATACTGATTCTCGGTCCATGGGTTACAATTCTAAATGGAAGCTTTTGTTCTTTTCTTCCCCAAAATGCTAATTTGGAGGATTTGGCCATGACAAAGAGGTCATTCTACGCCCCGGTTCGTTTGCAAATAACCCTGGGGGCCTCAGAAGCAACAGGGCTTCTGAGCACAAGCAGAGAGCCGTCCTCCTGCTAAGCTCAACCGTTTCATTTAACGTCTGGTCAGCAAAGAACTCATCCGGGGAGCAGGGGAATGTGCGTGATCAACCATGGTTAGGTGCATTCCCACAATGCCCTGTGTTGTGGTCCATTGGCAGCCTGTGGAGACGGCAGCAGAGTTGGACAGTGGGGAGGAATACGGGCCAGTCCGGGATACAAGATGTGGGACCAGGCCATCTGGGAGTTGTGTGCTGACTCAGGAGCCTCCAGAATCTGACAGCAGCGAGGCAGAGGAACAAGGGGAGCCTGTTCCCAGTGTGCGTATGCACAGAACTGCCAGAAGGCAAGAACAGCTAAGCCAAAAGGGGCGACTCGGGAGTAAGGCTTGGAGGTGATTGGCCCTCCCATAAGACATAAAGGAGGAGCAAGGGGGACAGGAATCTTTGCAGGAAGCAACTTTGTCCGTACTGGTTCGGTGTGAAACCTGAAGCTTGGTGTTGAATTTGTGCTCTGTTTTGGCCTCGTATCGCTAACTGGAAATTTAGTCGTTGGCAGCATTTCAAGGAAGATAAAGGTGAGTGCTGATCAGACTTATCCTGAAGGACTTTGGCAGATTTCCATGGGACTGTGCGAGACTCATTACGGGCTGTGAATGACTAAAATTCACAGCCATTGAAAAAAAGAAAAAAAAAAGGGTTTTGGGACTAACGTGTTATTTGTCAGTGTCTCCATAAGGTTTAGTCAGAACACCCTGGTTAAACCACACTGTAACTTGTGAATGAAGCAATATCCAAGTTTAGAGGGATGGATCGATCTGGTTTTTTTTTCCCCCTCCTAAGTTTTCAACACTTACCTGACCGATAAGGTGAAATCTCCAGGGTTGCTTTTACTCGGGCGGGCCAAAAAACTGCCATGGATGCCCCTGGTTAGGAGCAGCTTCTCTGCTTCAATCCCACTGATATTTGGATGGAACCACCTGGAGGGATGGGGGGGGGGGAGGTGGGGAGAGGAAAAGAAACACAAGAACACCTCACTATTAATAAGATGGGCAGCTGGGCTCATTCATGGGATGCAGGAGGTGGAGGGTCAGCTTAAAAGGTAATTGAGTCCAACCCTGTTTGGGATTTCGGCAGTCTCTAGTCCAACCCCGTTGTAGGAGAGGACCAGGCTGAGCCCGAGGGAGGGAGGGGTGAAACGCACCATCAGTTATGAATTCCTTCGTGTCCATAAGAAATCTAAGTCCAGCCCACCGTGAATTCCTTATCTGCCGCCAAATTGCTTTGACTGTTAGTAGTTCGGATTCTTGTAGAGCTAGCTTAAGCTTGCAGTAAATCTTTATAGCCATTTGAACTGCCTGGGTCTGCCTGATTTTCCCTGGATTTTAGCAGTCATCTAGTCCAACTCCGTTCTGGATCTCAGAGGTCATCTAGTCAAAAGGTGGTATTCAGCAGGTTCTGACCAGTTCTGGACAACTGGTAGCGGATATTTTGAGTAGTTCGGAGAACTGGCAAATACCACCTCTGACTGGAGATTTAACAGTATCCTTCCCCGACCATGCCCGCCAAGCCACACCCATAGAACTAGTAGTAAAAAAAATGTGAATCCCACCACTGATCTAGTCCAACCCCATTTCAGATCCTAAAGGTCATTAAGTCCAACCCCATTTCAGGTTTTGAAGGTCATTTAGTCCAACCCATTTTGGATCTTAAAGGTGGTCTAGTCTGACCCCGTGTCGTGCTAGAATTCTAAATGATCCCCAACAACCATTTGAAACCCCCCCTCATCATTGATTTTCATTTATAGGCTGTTTTCCTTCCAACAAGTCCTGATTTCGCACTCCTTACATGAATGATTCACTATAACATTTTATGGGCTATCTCAGATTTTGGCTGAGTGAAGCTGAGCCACCTATGCCATTGGCCTTCCTGGCTGCCAGACCCTGAGACCAAGCAATCTCTGGTATTCTTGCCCCCGGACTCAAAATCGCAGGCAGGTTTCGAATCAAATGCAATCGAGCAGCGCTGTTTTTCAATTTGGTGGGCTGGCTACATTTTTAATCCCTGCCCACGATATTTGCTGGCACAGAAGAAGCAGACATCTATCCAATATATTTAATAATTAACCAGGGCTTCCCAAGAGATATTTGACTAAATTTCATCTCCATCAAGTAGCCCGACAATACGGCCGGCCGGAGAGGGAAGAGGGAACCAAGAGAGAATAGAAATAGCTGCGGGCAGCATTTTAAGGCCATTAGCGGAATAAAAGAACATGACCTGAAGGCACATACGCAAAAAAATGTATCTTAACAATTAGCCAAGAACTCAACTAAGATAGTAATTACATTTTTTAAAAAGGGAGGGGGGGATGGATAACCATTTATAAGGCCTTTATAGTCAGGTTTCCCAACCTCAACTTTGAGATAGGTGGACTTCAACTCCCATAATTCCCTGGCCAGCACGCCAGGGAATTCTGGGAGTTGAAGTCTGCATGGCATCTAATTCTAGCTGAGAGATCTCAAATGCTCTGCCAGTCAACCTTAATAGGATGAACAGCAAGAAGGAAGGAAGGAAGGAAGGAAGGAAGGAAGGAAGGAAGGAAGGAAGGAAGGAAGGAAGGAAGGAAGGAAGGAAAAAAGGAAGGAAGGAAGGAAGGGAGGGAGGGAGGAAGGGGAAGGCAAGGGACAGAAAGGAAGGAGAGAGAGAAGGGAGGGGGGAAGGAAAAGAGAGAGGGAAGGGAAAGGAAGGCAAGGGACGGAAAGGAAGAAGAGAGAGAAGGGTCGAGAGAGGGAGGGAAGGAGTGGACAAAAAAAGAGATTATATGTATGTATGTATGTATGTATGTATGTATGTATGTATGTATGTATGTATGTATGTATATTTACTTGAATAAATAGGAGACCAATAAATAGGAATAAATAGGCATGCCAATAATTTTCTGGAGACGCAAAGGAATGATGTAAAGGGAAAATATTAGAAGCCACTCCACTGTAGTGGTGAAAATCTTGCAGGGAATATTATTTGGGGCAAAGAGAGAAAACCCTCCAATATAGGGAGGACGTGCTGTTTGGTGACTTCAGAAGCCAAGGTACAGGTGCTGCCCAAAGATTGCTGGTGCAGCCCTGTTTGCAATCCAACCACAAATATTTTTAGCACATCACCACATGTTTATCCAAACCGCAGACTCTTATCTGGGCAGAGTCACCCAGCAAAGAAAAAAGAGGATGGGTTTTCCTAGGGCCCCAAACCGCAGAGGAAAGCCTCCTCTGGCCTTTTTACCCATTGAGCGTGAGAACCAATGCCTCCCACCCCTGTGTCTCAAAAGAGAAAGGGTAACATGAATGCGCTTCATCAGGTTGCTAGACCTCATGGAGGCCGCTGCAAAAAAAACAACAAAAACAAAAACCCATGCAACGAATTGTGATGTCTCAATGTCACCCAAGCAGAAATACAGCTCGGAATTCAGGAGAGGATTTTCTTCTCTCTGCAAAGGGGAAAATAATACCGGTCGGATTCAAAGAATGTCGAGGTTGGAAAAAGAGGAAGAAAAACAGTCAAGAGAGAATTTTGGAGGTGGAAAGATCAGCGATAGACTCCTAAATGTGACTTAAAAATACATGATAGGATAGGGATAGGATAGGAATTAATAGAACAGAACAGAATAAATGAAGAATAGAATAAATAAATAATAGGATAGGATAGAATAGAATAGAATGGGAATTAATAGAACAGAATAGAATAAATGAAGAATAGAATAGAATAAATGAAGAATGGAATAGAATAAATGAAAAATAGAATAAATGAAGAATAGAATGGGAATTAATAGAATGGGAGTTAATAGAATAGAATAGAATAGAATAGAATAGAATAGAATAGAATAGAATAGAATAGAATAGGGCATGGCAACGGCAATGGAATAGGATAAGATAGGGTAGGGTAGGGTAGGGTAGGGTAGAGGAGAGGAGAGGAGAGGAGAGGAGAGGAGAGGAGAGGAGAGGAGAGGAGAGAAGAGAAGAGAAGAGAAGAGAAGAGAAGAGAAGAGAAGAGAAGAGAATTCTTTATTGGCCAAGTGTGATTGGACACACAAGCAATTTGTCTTGGTGCAAATGCTCTCAGTGTACATAGAATAGAATAAGAACAGAACAGAACAGAACAGAACAGAACAGAACAGAACAGAACAGAATAGAATAGAATAGAATTCTTTATTGGCCAAGTGTGATTGGACACACAAGGAATTTGTCTTTGATGCCAATGCTCTCAGTGTCCATCAAAGAAAAGATACATTCGTCAAGAGTCAAGAATCATCAGGTACAACACTTAACGATAGTCATAGGGTACAAGAAGCCATCAAGTCATACTAGGAAACAGTCAATATAAATCGTAAGGATTTATATAAAATAAAATGAAGTTTTTTCCCTCTTATAACTGGATCCCCAAGGATAAAAGTTGGACAATCGACTGGATGGCTCAATTGAAAATTTCCCAGTTTTTTAAGGGAACCAAGCCACCAACCCTGCTAACAAATAGCTTTACAAGTAATCCTTTTGACTTGCAACCGCAACCGTGGCCAGAGATTCTGTTGCTAAGCAAAGGGGTTAAGTGAATCGCAACCCCCCCGCCTTATGTCCTTTCTTGTCCCCCGTTAAGCGAATCACGTGGTCAGTAAATGAATCCATCCTTCCTCGACTTCGCTTGTGGGAAGCTGGTTTGGGAAGACCTCAAGAGATAATCGCATGATGCAACGGTCATCAATACCTCCTGGTGTGCCAAGGGCCCAACGGTTGTTTTTTTTTACCGTGGGACTGGTCGTAAATGCGAGGACCAGGTTTAAGTCACCTTTTTTTTTTCAGAGCCACTGTAAACTTGGTCTCCCACTTGGGCAGGGAGGGGGGTTGGACTAGATGACCTACAAGGTCCCTTCCAACTCTGATTATCTGTTATCTATTACCTGATTGTTAGCAGAGGATATAGTCTGCTCTTTTAATGCCTTCAGCCTTATTCCTTATTCTTTCTGGGTTCAGTCAGAAAGAAAAGCATCTCCAATTGTCCAAGGATGCTTACAGCCCAACTCTGGCAGACATCATGACCTGCAAATCTTTCACGGACCTTCTGCCCGGAGAGCAGCTAAATTTAGAATTGCCGACGGAAGAAGAAAAAGGAAAAGGATAGTTGAACCATTACAAGCTCTGCATAATTTGGGCCGTTATGTTTAATAGTGTATTTGGCATTCCCCGGGAGGAAAGAATAAACTGGATGGATTTTCTTCGCCCGATGAAGAGAGGGGGGAATGGAGAGAGGACCATACACACTCCCAGAATCCTCAGCGACAACCAGGAGAGCTGGGGAATTCTGGGAAAATGAATGCTAACGTATGTCGTTAGAGTAGGATGTGCTGTGTGCTGTAGGCTTTCATTGGCAGAATGGTCTTTTGGAATTGAAGACATCCAACATCTGAGTTATTGGTCGGAGGTAATGGATGGATGGAGAGGGAGGAAGGGGGGAAGGAAGGAAAAGAGAGGGAAGAGAAAGAAAGGGAAGAGAAGGGAGAAGAGAAGGAAAAAGAAGAAGGAAGAAAAAGAGAGGGAAGGGAACGAAAGGGAAGGCAAGGGAAGGCAAGGAAGAAGGGAAGGGAAAGGAGAGAAGAAGAGAAAGAGGAGAAGAGAAGAAAAAAGTAAAAGAAAGGCAGGAAGGAAGGAAAAGAGAGGGAATGGAAAGAAAGGGAAGGGAAGGCAAACGAAAGGGAGAGAAGAGAAGAAAAAGTAAAAGAAGGAAGGAAGGAAGGAAAAAGAAAGAGAAGGAAAGAAAGAGAAGGAAAGGGAAGGGAGAAGGGAAGGGAGAAGGGAAAGGAAGGGAAGGAAAAAGTTGGGGAAGGGAGGAAGGAAGGAAGGTGTGCAGAATCCAGGTTTAGGGAAGAAGAAACGATATACTCTACTGAGGACTGAAGAAATTAAAGAGATTTATACAAAAATTATGCCAGATT